AGTGACATCAGGACAACACCCTTCCCCCACTACCTAATATTCCAGTTTAACCCAATTTCTCCCCCCTCCACATTTCCTACCCATAATTGCCCACGCGCCCACCCTCTCGCAGCCCCCTCTCCTCTCTAACCAAGACCAGCCGCTGCTGTCCTTATCTTGAAACCGCCACCCAGCTACGGACCATTAGTTACATATTTGAACCAATAAGGAAACACTTACCGGGCGCTGCTGTCACTCTCCCTCTCCCTCTCTCTGCCTCTCTCCCACTCTCCCTCTTTCTCGTCTTCCCTCATTCTGTGCCGCTGCCGAGCCTGTCTCAGCTCCACACATACTTATATACTTTACATAAATTTAAAAATAAAATAGTCCCAATAATAAAAAATCCAAATAAAATTGAGGAGAGTTGCAAGAAGGGGGCAGGAGGGAGAGCCTGGAAGAGGGGAGGGGGGAGGCATCTGCAGCTCCCAATCTCAACTCCTGCTCCCGCATTCCTTCTCCCCTTGGGGGGCTAGAGGGTCCGGGAGGGAGAGAGAGGTGCCCTCAACTCCTGCCTCTCCCCCTCCCCCCTCCCCAGGTGCCCCCAGCTTCCGGCAACTCCACCTGGGAGGAAAAAAATTAAATGGGGGGGGGGAAATAATTATTAATCAGATTAATAAAAAAAATACTGGTAACGAAGGGAGCGCCCAGCGCAGGTTTCCCTGGCAATGGTTAGGCTCTTACAGGGAGGACTGTTCTGCGGAGCGCTCCGAACGGACAAACCACAATAAAAAGTTCACGTTCATGGATGGAATCCACATGACTTCTTGTGGCCAATCCAACTTGTGAGTCGATCGTAAACTTTTATTACTCAGCTGTAAATTTTCTGCAAACAACCGGGAATGCGATGCATTTGTGTAGCGTGTGCAAATGGGCGCCGCGGTCGCCATGTTTACCCAATTCTCTCCGAGAGGGAGCATCCCCCGACTCCCAGCGCACCCCCACCCACCGCCCACTCCCCAAGGGCCCGGCTGCTGCGGGCTAGCGTGGAAAGGGCAAAGGGGGATGCGAGAAGAGCGAAGGGCGGATTCTGGCTCTGAGTCGGCTGCCTCCCTTTGCCATGCCGAATTTTAAATATTTTCCTTTATAAATGGGTTATTAAGGTTGGATCTGGGGGAGTCGAAGCTTTGCAAAGGTTTGTGGCATTGGGGCAGTGAGGGCTGGCAGGGTGAAGGGACTGAGAAGGGATGCGCTCCTTACCCCTGCCCTTTTTTTCTGGTAAGTGAACAACATCCTCCCCAATGGGGTGTCTGGGCAGACCCCCACTGCACCCCAGACAGGAACGGGAGGGGCAGGCCGCTGGAAGCCTCATCAGCAAGCCAGACCTGACCGTGGTCTGCAGAGCAGAGAGGGCGCAGAGTGGCCCTGGGCAGTCCAGCAGAGACAGCAGGAGGGGCGAGAACTGGGGGCAGCCTCCAGAACACCCAAAGTACCCCTCATCCCCAGGTTCCTTTTTCAGAGAAAATTAATTTCCCCCTCAAGACCACCCCTATTGTCCAGTCTCCTCAATTCCAAGGTTACTCCCAATCTTCTTAGAATTAAAAATAAAATTAAGGCCCAAGATTTTGGTTCCCACTTCTTTTTCCTTTAGGGGAAAGGCAGTTTGAGCCTCTTCTGTCTTGTCGGGTGGCCCACACCCGCCTGCCTTTTTTAGAAAAATTCCAGTGTCCAGACAGCTGAGACACACCTTGGAGGCATTGAAAAAAAGAACCTTATCCCTCCCTAAATTCCACCTTCTACACTAAATTCTGAGCACCCAAGTCACCCCCACCCTTCTCCAGACCCCAAATTTTGGCAATGTGTCCAGTGTGGGGGAGCCCAGAATAAAGTCCCCATAGAGACTATTTGCCAACCAGTCGTAGCCCAGTCGCTCTTCCCACCAGCTGGAGATTTGAAGGCCCAAAGCTCTCCCCTCGGTCCCACACGAAGCTGGCACACACGTCCAGGCCTGGGTGCTCTACCCTAACCAACAGGGGTCCCTCATCTCCTCCCCAAACTTCCTCCACATAAGTGAAGCAGTTCCCTCAACCGGATGCAGGGACCTCGTTTCTTTTACAAACCCACCCATAAATTTTATAACAGGTAGTTAAAAATTACGACGAGGAAGCGCTGGCCCAGCTTTTCACAATGGGCCGCGGGGAGAATGGGACAGCACTGCGGGCAGCTCGCCGGAAATTTTACTTCTTGTCTGTGGCACAACCTGTCCGGAGTTCGCTCTAATTGGGGCAGGGTAACTTTCTCCAGCCCGCTCCCAGTCGCTGGGGCATCTCATTTGGAGAAGATGAGGCTGGGGAGGCCAATCCACACTCCCATCCTAGGGTCCTCCAAGGAGCCTTTTAGGACGCGCACTACCTCCTTCATCTCCCCCCACCACCACCACCACTTTCCCCGTAGGCCCGCACCTCCCCAGGCTTCAGCAATGAAGTGAGAGAGAGAGACGAAATGCCGAGAATTTTTTAAAATCCAGAGAAACGAATTTGCCCCCCAACTTAATAGCTGCATTATCCCGTCTCTATGGTTGAGATTAGAATAATAAATTCAAGGCGAAATGAGGGAGATGCTTCAACTCAGCATTTTGAAAGATACTATTTTTCACAAATCACAAATAGCTTTCGGAAGCCACTTTGATTGGCTAATAAAAAAGTAAAGAATGGGAGAGAGTTCTATCTGCTGCAGCCGAATGGTCCCCATTCCCGTAATGGGACGGCGGGAGCATTTGGGAGACGCGTTTCTAAAAAGAGCGCATCCCGCTCGCAATTAAGTTCGCCCATAAAACGGGTTTTTACCTCCTTTTCTCTCCAAACGAGAAAACGGAGGCGGTGGGCAGAAGGGGTGGGGGAGTGGGTGCTGTAAGAGGGGGCGGCTGGAGCTCTCTAGGTCTGGCTCACGTCTCGAGCGATACCCGGCGCCAGATGTACCCCGCCCTCCGACGCCGCGCTTGGGGCCACGGGCATCGCTGAGCAGGGCCAGGGGTATTTGCTGGGTAAAATTCAGCCAGGTCCTTCGGAGCCATTTAGCGTAGGGTGTAACCCACTCGGCTACTGGGCCAGCGATTTTTATTAATAGCATCCATAATTCCACATTTCAAAATGAAACGGCCCTCCGCCAGCCCTCGGGGTCTGGAGAGGATGTGCCGCGCGTGGGAAGGCCTGAGGTGGGAGCTAAATGCTGTCTTTTAAGACCTTCCCGGCGGGTAGCCGGTGTCTCCCGGAGCAAACAGGGTTACCTGGCTGTCTCCGCGGCCCTCCGTAGGGACCCCCGGTTCCAAAAGATTTTCCCCAGAGCTGCTCAGAGCTGTTCCCGGCTGCCCACAGCCTGTGCTTCCAACCGGCACCCTCTCTCCGGCTGCAGTACTCCCCTATCCGCGGTGCCCTGCTCAATCCTGTTTTCAGGACCACTTTGCGTGGCAGCCAGGACCCAGACGCGGGTGAAATTACACAAAACAAGATTCAGCCCGGGCCTAAGTCTGGGAAAATCATTGGGGGGGGGGTGTCTGGACTAAAAAATATTTCAGTCTTTGGGGATCTGGTTTTTAAGACCAGAAGATCTCATCCCCTCCCATTTCCCCCTCTCCTGACTGAGCCAGATGACTTGTATCTCTGGAATTTGGTATTATTTGACCAGAATCTTACTGGCATAAACAGATTTCTCTGTCTAGGACCCTCCAGGGAGGAGTGGGAGACCCCTGAGTCCCTTAGCCTTCAACCCTTTATTTTGGGGAATGAGGAGTCCAATGAAGACTCTTCTTACCCTACTGTGGCTGGGGTGGAGGGACTGTCCACTCAGCAGGCCTGTCCCTTCTCCCCAGGCCAATAGCCTTCATTATGAGTGCAGGGCAGGCTGCCCAAATGCCAAGGTGAAGCTGGGACTGGGCTTGAAGCAACTAGAACAGAGGTTGGAGTAGATGCAAATGGGTTAGGTGACAGTGATTGCTCTGTGCTGGCTGAATTTGAATTTCAGAATGTGGACCCACAGTGCTTGGTGTACCAGCTCACTCACCTTCCCCTTCTCCTCTCCTTTCCCCCAGGCTTAAGCTCCCTCATCTTTAGGCATCTTCCAGCCAAGTCCTCCAGGCTGCCTTGAGCCTCATATTTTCCCCATCCTGCTCACTGTTCTAGTGCTGGGTGCTGGGTGCCCAGGGTTGGCCATGAGGGGCATGTGGAGATCAGAAAGAACCCCACTGCCTCATCCTCAGCCCCAGCCCCTGGAAATAAAAGGCCTGGTTTTAGGAAGGGCATGGGGGCAGATTCTTTGTCTGGGTCCAGCCAAAGGGGGAGGAAGGTGGGCAAGTGGGAAGGTGCTTTCTCCCCATTGGGATCCTGGCATCCAGACACCCATTTTGTTTGGAGTCAAGGTTCTCCAAAGAGCACACTGCTCTTCTTCCCCCTCTTCACCTCCTTCCTTCACCTGTCCTCCCAGCCCAGCCCACCCTCTCAACTCCACG